GACCACTATAACAATAGATGTCCCCTTTACTCCCTAAACAAACACATCAGACTAATAACCAGACTCTATTGTGCTTACAAGTGCCTTTCATGCATGTCATAGTTGAAGAACATAACTCAATGACCCGAACAGCAGAAGTTCCTGGTTCCGATGCTGGTACTATCAAAATGGAAATCTGAAAAAGCAGAAACAAAGTATCAGACACAGCTGTTGAGACCTCATTTTCAATCTTCTATCATTAAATGCTAACTATCAAAACATAATGTTTTTTGTTTTTTCCCAAATGACCACTGATACATGAAAAAGTTTGGCTTATAAGGATTTAATTTTGGGACAGAATTTGAAACATGTAACTTGCACATATGTGTCTTAATGTCTGTATTTTTATATATCTATATAAAAACATATCATAGTCATGTAATCTACATAAAAATAGTTCAAGTATCTTTAATATTTAACTACTATTTTCAAAGGATGCAATAATGACATTACTTATAAAATACATGTACGTTGGTGTCTGAAATCAGACAATACTAAATCAATTTTGATTCTTCATAATAGGTAAAAATAGCAGTTATAGGGCACTAGAAACCATATATATTACCAATCCCAAAGATATAAAAACAAGCTGTCAAAGTAAATTGTTATAGATTTAATTATATTACCCCAAATGTGTGCTGGAATCCTAACCCCTGTGCCTGTGATCCTATTTAGAAATAGGGTTTTCTTTGATATAGTAATCAGATCATGCCCAAGTTGGTTGGGATCTACATCTATACATTTCTGAGATATATAAAGAGAAGACTATACATAGAGGTACATATACAGAATGGAGGTGGTGTGGGGGTGTTGCTACGACTGAGACACTGATTTGTACATTAGCTTCCATAACTGTGAGAAAATAAATTTCTGTTCTTTAAAGCCACCTACTTGTGGATTTCTGTTACAACAGCACTAGGTAACTAAGAATTACATACTGAAACCTTTCAAAATCAATGGCTTCAAATTAAACTAGATATTCTGAATTAAAATTGAAATGTGAAATCATTATTAAATAATGTTTACTGTTATGTTCCCCTAGGTACAGGTTTTAGACAGTAGGTGCCCATTAGGCCAATGTTTCTCTGTAGAATCTAACATTTTACTATTAATCCTCAATCTGAGGAAACTACATGCTCTCATACAAAAACTATTTGCCAAAAAGTTGTTGTTGTTAGATGCCGTCGAGTCATTCCCGACTCATAGCGACCTCACATACAGCAGAACAAAACACTGCCCGGTCCAGTGCCAGGCCCATGACCTTTGCTATACCTGAGCCCATCATTGCAGCAATTGTGTCAATCCATCTTTTTGGGGGCCTTCCCCTTTTTCATTGTCTCTCCACTTTGCCAACCATGATATCATTCTCCAGGGAATGGTTCCTTCTGACAACATGACCAAAATAGGTGAGACGAAGTCTGGCCATTCTCGCTTCCAAGGAGCATTCTGGCTGCACTTCCTCCAGGACAGATCTGTTAGTTCTTTTAGCAGTCCATGGTACTTTCAGCATTCTTCGCCAGCACCACAACTCAAAAGCATCGACTCTTCTTCAGTCTTCCTTTTTCATTGTCCAGCTCTCACATGCATATGACCCGATTGAAAATACTATGGCTTGTTGTCAAGTGCACCTTAGTCTTCAAGGAAACTTATTTGCTCTTCAGCACTTGAAAGAGGCCTTTGCAGCAGATTTGCCCAATGCTATATGATGTCTGATATCTTGATTGCTGCTTCCATTGGTGCTGATTGTAGGACCAAGTTATATGAAGTCTTTGACAACTTCAATCGTTTCTCCATTTATCATGATGCTGCTTATTCATCCCACTGTGAGGATTTTTGTTTTCTTTATATTGAGGTGTATTCCACACTGCAGACTGCAGTCTTTGATCTTCATCAGCAAGTGTTTCAAGTCATCCTCACCTTCAGTGAGCAAAGCTGTGTTGTCTGCATAATGCAGGTTATGAGTCTTCCTCCAATCCTGATGCCACGTTCTTCTTCATATAGCCTAGTTTCTTGGATTATTCATTCAGCATACAGATTGAGTAAGTATGGTGAAAGGATACAACTCTGACGCACTCCCTTCTGAATTTTAAATCATGCAGTGTCCCCTTGTCCTTGTTCTGTTCGAATGACAGCCTCCTGGTCTATGTACAAGTTCCTCATGAGCAAAATTAAGTGTTCTGGAACTCACATTCTTCTCAATGTTATCTGTAATTTGTTACGATCCACACAATCAAATGCCTTTGCACAGTCAATAA